TTTCTCATATTGTATATCCTGATTATAATTTTTCTCCTTCTATTCCTCCTAGTTTTTCCTCCGTACCTCCCCTTCCATCTGGATCTGCTTCCTTTCTATTTCTGAATAGGAAAAGAAAAAAAATACTACAATAACAAAAACAGGCTTCTAAGAGATAATAGTGAAATATAACAAAATAAAACATAACATAAGACAAAAACTATTACATTGGATTTGTTCAAGACAAACAAATGGAAGGAAAAGAGCCCCAGCAGAAGACACAAGAATCAGAAACCCACTTGTATACACACTCAGGAATCACACAGAAACACTAAACTGGAAGCAGTAATATGCATGCAGCGGACTGGTATAGAACCATGAGGCCATGCTTCAGTCTCTGTGAGTTCATATGAGCTTTGATCATGTTGATTTAGAGGGCCTTGTTTTCTTGGTGGCCTCCGTCCCCTCTGGTTCTTATGCTTGTTTTGCCTTCTTTTCTGAGGGATTTCATGGATACATCCCATTTACGGCTGAGTGTTTCAAGGTCTCTCACTCTCTGCATAACGTCTGGCTGTGGGTCTCTGTATTTGTTCCCATATGCTGCAGGAGGAAGTATCTCTGTTGATGGTTGAGCAAGGCATTGAGCTATGAGCATAGCTGAATGTCATTAGGAGTCATTTATTGCTACATTTTTTTATACCAGTAATATTTGCTTTTACCCTTGGTCCCTGGTTCTTGGTCACCTACGCAATATCTGGCATGGGTTCCATCTCACATAGTGGGCCTTAAGTCAAGTCAGATAATAGTTAGTTAGTCCCACATGCTTTGTGCTACCATTTTATCTTACAAGCAAGATCTCATTGTAGATCAAAGGGTTTGTAGCTGGATTGGTGTTTACATTTGTCTTTTGGTAGTGTGCAGAATATCTTCCTGTATCAAAGATGATAGAATGTAGGAATGCAGGTGAAGATCTACTCCTTCATTTTTATGCATTGTGCTGGTGTTGTCTTTGCTATATAGCCTCTCTGTCAGTTTGTGCAGGGCAACCTTTTGCCTTGTTAACAGCCTGGATTGTTTGTGAATTCCCATGGGGCCCCATTGGTTAACAACTCAGTTAGATGTAACCCACTCTCAGCACTGAAAGCTTCATTTGGTGACAAGAGATGAGCCAGCTAAACTATTTTAATTGTGTTGTAAAGTCATTTTACAAAGTTGCTTACTAGTTAATAACAATCCAATAATATATAAATTTCACACGTTTGTAGCACAAGAATTGGTGAGGTGCGTAAACTATTATATGTTGTAAATTATCATAAAGCATCGAATGTGTATAGTGTATAATTGCACAGTTTATACACATATTTATATTATATAATCTGAGTTAAAATATCCAGATCACTTTGTACACTAGGTTTTGAAATACCTTTAAAATAAAAATTGTATCCTAAAAATTTTTTACATTGTTACTTAATTACTTTTCAAACAAAAGGAAATTTATTATCCTAAAACACAATGCAGTATTTGTCATATGAACACTAAAAGACTTTTGTAAGTTTAAGTGTTTGTCATTAGACATTACCTCTTAATTCATCGTCATTCAAGTTCTCATGGCATGGGTAGAGTGAATTCTAGAATTCACTCTAGAATATATATAAAAGGGTTTGCCTCTAGATCATTTCCTAGAATAACCATATTTTCTTAAAATCTCACAGTCCAGACCTCTACTGCCTATGTTTCCTCCAGAATTCTGGACTTTCAAACTCAAATAAGATTGTTCCATTAAATTCCATGTATAGCTTTCTATGACTTTTGTCACACAACACTGTGTGAACTTTTCCTCATTTCTTCTTCCAACTAATTTCAAAGTCTCAAGAACTAGACAGTCAATTTCTCAGGGGATGGAATGGTTAAAGAGATAGCAGGAGAGGAATTGATAGGGTGAGTATGTTAAAAACACATTGTATGAAATCTCAAATAATTAACAAAATTATTGCTGAAAATGTAAATCTAAATAAAAATGTATTACCCTTCAAGAACTTAAAAAAAAAGTTTAAGTGGTTTTTTTTTGTGTGGTTTTTTTTTTTTTTTTTGTGTGTGTGTGTGTGTGTGTGTGATTGGAAGTCAGTCTGTATAGACTTGTTTCATTTATTGCTGGTTATCTGACAAATTGGTTCCAAAATTTATAACAACTAGAACATCATATTAAACTCTCTTGCACCCTCTGTTGTTATCTCCGGGGAACACTACACACGTGTTTCAAGATTATATTGACATTGCATTTATTTCTTTCTCTTTTAAAATTAAAACTTATTTTGCTACATTTAAAAGCAGATTAGCATCAGTAATAGAATAACATTTGCTTGTGGTTTTTTTTTTTTTTTTGGCGTTTTATTATCCTATAGATGTGCTTTCAGCATGTCACATATTTAATGTATCATAAGCTTTCTGTTGTCTGTTATTTCTCCTGGTAATCAGTTGTGAGCCCCTCCATAAAATATAACATAAGACAAACATAACATAAGGTTTCTCATAAATAAAAATTCATACAGGACTTAGCCTATTGAATATTCCAGTTTCTAGAATTACAAACTTTGACTTTTTTTTTTGGTAAACTTTTGAAAAAGTTGTTTCCTCCAAAATAAGAATCTAAAGCATCTATACTAAAATTGTGAATTTATAACTGTAAGGAACAGACGTTTTCATAAGCATTTGCTATAATTAATTTCATCTATAGGATTGAAAGGATAAAGCAGTTTTTCCCACTTCAAAACGTCATTGCCTTTTCCCCATATAACAAACAAAATTTTCTTAAATATTGCTAGTGTAACAATTCCATACCTTATTTAGTATGTTTTTAAGAGAGGAAATCTGCTTTTTGTTTCTTTATTACAATCATTTGTACCTTGGAGTTACAGTTAATGTGGCATTTTCACTGGTGACAATTACATACTATGGAAAATATGCAAAATCTTTGCAACATCTTATGATAAAAGAAGACTGACTTTCAGTGTATAACATAATACTTGTTCTGTAGTGATTGTGGAATGCCACACAGGAAGTGTCTACAAGCTGTTCAAGACCATGTGCTACAGGAGATTTTTGTTCAGTAAACTGAGATACTGTTTCTTCTATCATTTTAGATTAGGATAATTCCATTAATTTTTAATGGAAATAAAAGTTTCTATGTTTATTCGTATCCATGTATTCAAAGAATTAGCACACATACAACTATCATAATCTTTAATTTTTTAAAATATAATGTATCATTTTTTTGGATGCTGAAATCACTGTGTTTTAAATAGACCATCAAGTTATCAGAAATATACTTTGAAGAGAAAAAAAAATCAGTTCAGCAAGAGAACTGAGTCAATTTCTTTTTTTTTGAAAGATTTATTTATTTATTACTTATGCAATGTGTGTTAACATGTACACCTGCACGCCAGAAGAGGGAACCAGATTTCATGTTTAGATGGTTGTGAGCTATCATGTGGTTTCTGGGAATTGAACTCAGGGCCTTTGGGAAAAGCAATCAGTGCTCTTATCCTCTGAGCCATCTCTCCAGCCCCCGTGAGTCTATTTCTTAACATTGGAATATGCTGGTCATACCTGCCAATGTCTCAGGTAGAATTAATATTCTTATGTTAAACAACACAAGGTTGCCATACACACTTTAGTTTTCAGTAGCCACTTAATGAGTTGCCTAATTATGGAATCAAAGTACCTTATTCTTATATACAAAATTTAAATTAATTTTATTTTAAAACTGTAATCTTTACAATTTTTTGTGACCAGGTCTATTGTAGAACCTTATATATTTCATTATAAGTCAGAATTATAAGTCATAATGGGCAAGTTATTAAATTATTATGATTTTAAATAGAAAATGATTTGAAAGTTACATTGCCAGGATTAGAAGTATAAAATTTAATTATATACTGGTCCTAATATGCTTTGTATAAGAAATGATACATTTAATCGTGTACTGCCTAATAAAAACTGTATATATATTTTTTCGAGACGGGTTTTTTTTTTTTAATCTGTCCTGGAACTCACTTTGTAGACCAATCTTCCCTCAAACCCACAGAGATCTGCCTGCCTCTTCCTTCAAAGTGTTGGGATTAAAGGCATATGCCACCATTTCCCAGAAAAAAACTGTATTTTAAAATATATATATAATGAAGTAAACTACCAAACTTTTTTTTTTTTAACCCCCCTGTTCAAAGGAAGCACTTTGGCTACCAAACTTCCAACTATAAGAATTTTTTACTTAGCTTTAAAAATAGTTTAAAATTTTTTCTTATATAATATTGAACCTGATATATTTTTATTTACTCTAAATTTGATTTCACGAATATTCTTATTTTTTAAGGGAAAACAATTTTGTTACAGAAAACACATATCTTTTGGCTAAATTTCTTTCTGTGTTTTGTCTTGCTAATGTTTTTAGCAGTTCAAAACATAACAGTAAGCAGTTAAGCAAATATTAATGGGAAAAATGGAAGAGATTTTAAGATATATTGGAAGGTTCCTTAAAGTGTATTCTTGATCACCAACTCCCCTTTCTGTATCTTCCTTTACTTGTCTGCTTAGGTTGCTAGATATTGGAACAGATTTTAGCTTTGTTCTGTACTAGCTCTTTTGGCTGTAGTACTTACTGGTTAGAAAAGGAGATCTGTTCTCTAACAAAAGATTGCCTTTGTTCATTATTATTAACATGTAATTAAATGGTTTACAAGGTTCTCTGCTTCTGTGATTCATAAAAGAAAAATTATCCTTTACTTTTCCTGTTAGCAAATTAGGAATTTTGGTATTGGGTTGTATGTTCACCTCCAAGTGAGTTTTTAACTTAGAAGTTCTGAGTACAAAAGATAAATTGAGAAGATAGGAAAGGGAATGATATATGTCTGTTGTTTTTAATTTTTTTTTATTATGACACTATGTTACACAGTGATTTTTTTTTTAACCTGAAATACTCAGTTGTACAATTTCTGTTATTTCAGTGTTTCTGTTTTTGTCTCTAGGAGATTCAAGTCAAAATGGAAGAAGAGCAAATTCTACCTTAGACTCTGAAGGGACCTTTAATTCATACACGTAAGTGATACTTACATGCACACACAGTTGTACAAGATAACAAAAGACACATATGGTTATAGATTATGGTCTTAGAATAGCAAGAACTTACAACCATACCTTAAAATGTCATATATATATATATAAAGGACATTGTAGTACAGTCTGTAATATTGATAACACAAATATAACAATCTGAATTCTTAAATACATACTTTCTTTTTTTTTCTTGTTAATGGTTTTTTTGTGACTTAGATTTTGACTAAGTAAATATTTATTAAATTTGTGCTATGTTGCACGAAAGCCAAAGAAAAAGAAAGACTGAATAGTAATATTTGAAAATTTGTATAATGAACCAGAATGTCTAAATTCTGTTTATTCACTGTAGGAAAACCTATGCAAATTTAGTACTAGTATATTTAAGCATTATAAGTGCCATTCAGTTAAATGAAGACAAGCTTCAATTGATATAAATAATTATCTGATGATTATTTCAGACCTTCTAATAGTGTGTACCAATACTTTGGAACATGCACAGAAGCACATGCAACACACTTCCACACTGAACTTTCATAGAAAGATACCGAATTTACTCTGTGACCCTTTAATGTCTTTATTTGTGTTTGTACTCCATTTCCTTCATTAGAAATACATCATTTATTTCTTCAGGTTACAGGCACACTTAGCTAAGGGCCTGCCTACAGGAGGCACTTGTAGGAATGTCAGGAATACTACTATTATTGCAATCTGTTTATGAATTCCTGAAGTGGTATGGTAATTTAAATATTTGACATTCTCATTTTATAGTAGTTTGGGTTTGCGTAAGTTATCAGTCAGTTGTCAGTTGTATAATTATACCAATGATACAAATAGTGCAAAAGGCTTTTGTTTCCATGATATTGTAGAGAGACATTATTTCAGCTGTAAAGCTTATATATTGTCATTGTATTTTTATTGTACTCATACAACCTTTAAATGCTGCAGTTTTCCAAATCCTACCTTTAGTCTTAAAGTATAACGTAAACCTGGAACTAAGTAACAAATAAAATCACTACTTGGACAAATGTCACAACTGATCAAAATAACCACCAAAGATGATTATAAAAGAAAATTAATTACCCACAATTTGGCATATAACTGAGGAGTGTTCATATATGTGAAGTCAATGGTTATGATATAAATTTTTAAGTAAAACTTAAATAAAAAGAAGTGGAAAAATATATTGAAAAGGCTAGTCATTTTCTTATTCATGTATATTTTATTTTTAAGTGTTATAATTACATTCACATTTTATCTCAGTATGGTAAAAAGGATGTTTTAATTTGAGAATAGTATTTTTAATAATTTTTATTTTTTTATATTAATCACAGGTTATTCACTTTGTATCCCAGCCGTAGCTTCATCCCTCATTTCCTCCTAATCCCACCTTCCTCCCTCCCTCTTCTCCCTGCCCCTTTCCAAGTCCACTGATAAGGGAGAACCTCCTCCCCTTCCATCTGACCCTAGCTTATCAGGTATCTACAGGACTGGCTGCCATGTCCTCCTCTGTGGCCTAGCAAGGCCGCTCCTCCCTCAGGAGGAGGGAAGGGGTGGTCAAAGAGCCAGCCATTGAGTTCATGTCAGAAATAGTCCCTGTTCCCCTTACTAGGGTACCCACTTGGATTCTGACTACCACGGGCTACATCCGAGCAGGGGTTCTAGGTTATTTCCATACATGGTCCTTGGTAGGAGAAACAGTCTCATAAAAGATCCCTGTGCCCTGATATATTTGGTCCTTGTGGGGCTCCTGTCCTCTCCGGGTCATACCAACTCCCCCTTCTTTCATATGATTCCCTGCACTCTGCTGACGGTTTGGTTATGAGTCTCAGCATCTGCTTTGATACACTGCCAGGTAGAGTCTTTCAGAGGCCCTCTATGGTAGGCTCCTGTCCTGTTCCTTGTTTTCTCCTACTTCCAATGTCCATCCCCTTTGTCTTTCTAAGTGAGGATTGATCATCTTACCCCTGGTCCTCTCTCTTGTTTATCTTCTTTAGGTGTACAGATTTTAGTATGTTTATCCTATCTTGTAGGCCTAGTATCCACTTATAAGTGAGTATGTACCATGTGTAGTATTGCTTTATAGTTAATTCTGTCCTTGACTCGTTCAGAGTTTAAAATATCTCACTGAATGATAATTTTATTTTGAAAATGAGCTATTATTGCAAAAGTGTATACTTTTATTAACTAAATACTTTTAATTAGTGCCTGTCATTGTTATAATATGAAGACATTAATTTATTTTAATTTAAAACTACAAGGTAAAGGATCAAGTAATATAGTATATGAAAGTAGGTTTTTGATACTTGGCAGGCAAATGCTGCTATTAAATGGTATTATAGTATTTAAGGTGTGAAATTAGGATTTCTTTTTTACCCTGTAGGCAATAACTCTTACATGTAATTAGCTTATTTTTGAATTTGACATTTAGGTTAAATGTAGAATTCATTGAAACACAGCTCTAGGGTTTATTTCCATATTGATTTTAGCTAACTAAAACCTGAAATTCTTTCAGAATCTCTGCTACAGTAATAGCAGAATCTTCAGTAAAATTTACTTTTGAAATGTGAATTTTTTGTTACCATTATAGCTCTTTTTAACTTACTTGAAAGTTTATCAGAAAAATGTATATCTTCTCCTCTTCTTTCTGATCTTAGTCTATCAGTTCTCATCAAAAGTGGCTGCATTGTCCTCTACTGTGGCCTGGTAAGGCTGCTCCCCCCTCAGGGGGAAGTGATCAACGAGCAGGCCAATCAGATTATGTCAGAGGCAGTCCCTCTTCCCATTACTATGTAACCCACTTGGACACTGAACTGCCATGGGCTACACCTGTGCAGGGGTTCCAGGTCATCTCCACACATGCATGCAGAAAGGGGAGGGAGGGTGGGATCGGCAGGGGAGGAGGGAGGGGCTTATGGGGGGATACAAAATGAATAAAGTGTAATTAATAAAAAAAAATAATAGAAGATTTAAAAAAAAGAGTTTAATGTTTTTATAGTGTAAGTACAGGATAATACTGCCTAAATCTATTTTTAAAATTAAAATTTTGTTTTGGGAGGACTATTCAGGAAAATAAATAAATAAATAAATAAATAAATAAATAAATAAATAAATAAATAAATAAATAAAATTAATAATAAAAAATAATAAAGAATGAGAAACTATCTGGAAAACTATTTGATTGTCTTCTCTGTTGTTTGAAGTAGAAAGAATATGAAGTTTTTTGTTTTTACTATGATATACTTTAAATATCTAAAAATAAAAAAAATGTATATCTTTAGGTTTTCAAAACAATAACAATTTTACCTTCTCTAAACTGCCTCAGGAATCTTTTTTTGTTCTTGTTATATCTTTTGTTTGCTTGTTTGTTTCTTTGTTTTGAGATAGGCTCTTTCTACATAGACCTGACTGGCCTTGAACTCACTATGTAGACTAGGCTGGCTTTGACACAGAGACCTGCCTCCTTCTACCTGTGCTAGTATTAAAGGCATGCCACACTTGACTAGAAATCTTGATTGTTACCGTTAAGACAATCGATACCTTAGGCCTACTGCAAGCATTCTCATGTTGGTATCTAGGATAATTCAGGTGTAAAATGGCTATGTAATTTCTAACGTGCCTCTTATCACAAGTTTTGAAAGGACTGAGAAAAAATATAAAATGAAAGCTTCTAGAAGATTGTATTACAAAGCCATGGATTTATTTTTTATTATCACCCATGTCAGCTGATAATAACTTTCCTTTAATTTTTATCAGTGAACAAGTGTTCCCTTTTATTGTTCAGTCTAATATTGGGTACCTTAATTTTTTTAGTGATTGTTTTTGTACTCAAGGCTTGCACAGCCTAGACAGACACTCTAAACTAAGCTCTATTTTCAGCACACTTTTTACTTTTTATTTTGAGACAAGTTCTCATTATGTTACTCAAGCTGACCTTGAACTTGTGATGCTCCTTCCTCAGACTTCCATAGCTTAACCTTTTTGTTATTGCATTATTGTAGGATTAAATTGCCAAGTTTCGAGGGTTCACAGTTTGTGAAGTTTTTTGGTTTACTTTAACAAATATCTAAATATTGTATTTTGGGTGAAATAATGATTGCATATGCATGATGACTTTGGAAAAGTCTTACCCTCTAGCACACTTTCAAATGAGGGTAATGTAGTTGATATGAGGAGTGCCAAGGAGTAAATGCTGAGTATTGTTCTTGTGTTCCAATGACTAGCATTTTCAGCATTGTCATCATCTTCAAGCTTTTGATCTTGCTTAGACAATGGGAAAATAACTTCTTTTTTTTTTTTGTGGTCTTATTTGAAGCTGAGTCTCTCTATGTTTTCCTGGGTTTCTTTGAACTCTGTGTAAACCAGGCTGACATTGAATCCCAGGGAACTTCCTGCCTCTGCCTCCTGGGTACTAACATAAAGGTTTGTACCACCATTCCCAATTTAAAAGAAAACTTGAAGCTCAGTCCTAGAGACAGAGTGTTTTCCAATACCTTTGTGTAACAAATTCTACAATTATAAAGGTAAGGGGAAGTTGTTGCGCTATTAATCACAGGTTAATATCTGAAACTTAAACTAAGTTTTGAAATTTGAAAATCAGTAGACCCTAAGTAGAGGGTATGTCTGCCTAATGCTTTTATAGATGTTTTAAAAACAGCCAAGTTTTATTTGGCATTTGTGTCTTCATGTACTTTTCCTTCATATATTCAAATAGAATATAGTTATAATTAGCTCTAAAAATTTATCATGAAATGCCTTGTTTTAGAAATTTTCATTAAATTTTGATTATATATTTCCTAATCCTTTAAAAATAGAAAATGTCTATATATTGAACAGACATTATTGATTTTATAGACCATATTTTATAGTTTTTAAAGACTGATATTAATGTCTTTTGTCAGATACTGATCTTTTTTATTTCTTATGTAACCGTAAAAACAGAGCCTTGCAGGATATAGAAGATAGGTTCTTCAAGTTTGGAGAAC